AGGACCCCCGGAGCTGGTGGTCCGGTGGGCAGACCAAACAGAAGAGCGGCACACGTCCTCACCGGTGGGACGGAGGCTGGCTTACCAGGGCCAGCCGGGGGTGGGGGTGGGGAAGGGCCGTACAGGGCTCCAGCTGCGTCTTGGGCGTTTGGGAGCAGCTGACCTTGAACTGGGACGGGATGGCTAAGTCACGGGCTGGAGGACGAGCTGTGGGCTGAGCAGGAGCAGTGCCTTCCCACGTCATGATCGGGACCGGCCCTGCCCTGGCTCCATCGTTCCCGGAGCAGACAGGCCCGGCCAGGACAGCGCCCGGCGGCCTGACCCCTCCCCTGCCCGCTCAGCCCGCGGTGGCCGTGCGCCCGGTGGCAGGCACGGATTTACTGCCTGGGAGCGATGCCCTGGCTGGACTCCCTGGAAGCATCTGGTTAGTTAATTAACAGCTCACACTCCCGTCTGCCCTCCCAGCTCACGGTGGGGCCCCCGCGCTGCCGCGACCTCATCGGCTCTCCCCCTGGCTGCGACGGGCCAGGCACTCACGCTTCTGAACACCCCAGAGAGGCCCGTGCAGATGAGCCCCCAGCCTCAGGCCTAAGCTGGCGGGAAGTTGCCCGGAAAGCACACTGCCGCCCGCCCCACCCAGGCCTGCCGGGCTGTCCTGTCCCTTCCTTAGTGGGAGGTTCTCCCTTAAAGAAATTATCTCCCTACTGAGACCGTTTAAGTAACCCGCCAGGCAGGCTTTGTTTGGGAGACAGGAGACCAGGGGACTGACCGCAGGGGAAGGTCAAGGCCGGGACAGAGGGAGGCTCAGGGACCTTGAACACCAGAGGAGGCCCCTGAACCAGCCTGGAGAGGCGGGAGTTTCATCCGTAAGATGAAGATAATAGTTGTCTACTTCGTGGGACTGTCTTGGGGAGCAGAGAAATCGCTGCGTGTGCGTGTGTAGCTCCTACTATGTGCCAGCGCCCTGCACAAACCATTGCTAACCTACCATCAATCCTGAAAAGGCCAGAGCCGCCGTCCCCGTTTTAAAGCCAAGGAGGATGGGGTACAGAGGGAGTGAACCTGCCCAAGGTCACAGACGTAGGAAACGGGGCATGAACCCAGGCCTGGATCAGAGCCGCCCTGTGAAAGCAAAGCCCTTCAAATATCAGCCTCGGACATTCAGAGCCAGCCGTCATGTGCCCAAGAAAACACTCCCACACATTTCTCCTCTGCCATTCTGGAGTGGGATTAGCATCCTTTCAGATCACGATTGACCTTCCCCAAGTATCCGGTCCCTGTCAGCACGTATGGAAGGGGACTGAGTCCAACAGGGCGTATCACCTCCCCCACCCGGGTGCTCGACCTCTGGTAATATGTCCCAAATGCTGCAGGCTGGACTAGAGAAGGATCAAGGACGTGCAGGCTGGGCCCCCTCTTCTGTGGTGGCATTTGGAGCCCAAGTGTGGGGTATCACAGGGAAGCCCCTGAAATAGCAGCCTTTGCAAAGACGGAGAGATTTGGGTACACAGTAGGTACTCAGCAGATGACTCCTGAGTGCTGACGGAGAGGAAATGGCCCAAACGGGCTGGGTGACCTTGGGCAAGTTACTCAACCTCTCTGCGCCTCAGTCTCCCTTTCTGGGAAATAGGAGTGAACTCCTCTCACAAGGCTGTGGCGAGGATTAGACCAGACAGCATATATGGAGCCCCCAGCACATCATGGGTGCCCCGTGAAGGTCTGGCCTCCAGAGAGTACCCAGGGTGCTCCACTGCCCTGCTTCCTCCGCTCGCCAAGGCTGGGGCCACGTGGTGGGCGGGAGATGAGCACAAGGCTGAGGTGCTTCCCATCCTGCCGCTGTGAGTCGGCGTGCCGACTCCTCACTCCGGATTTCCGGCAGCCTGTGGCCGGTTCTGTAGAGCCGGGGTCTGGGGCACAGGCCCCCCCCTCCCCGCCCCCTGCACGGTGAGGCTGACGGAGGCGGGAAACGCACCGCCACAGCCACCTGACCTCCCGTCATTCTGCAGCACACAAGCAAGGACCGTGGGAGGCTATGGAAGGGCCCGGTGGCTGCCGGGAGCCGGGGGTCCTGACAACGCACCCACTTCCTGGGTTATTGGCGGGGGGGACGTGTGGGATGACCCCCACGCGTGCAATCCGGGAGCCACAGACGATGCGGGACGGGGGTGGGGATACCAAGGCCAGGACCACATGCCCGCAGCCGGCTGGGCGCGGTGCGGGTGGGGGGCGGGGGTCCGGGACTCTGGCCCCCGGGAAGGCCCAGCCGGGGCCGGGAGGTGTCGCCGAGGCCCGGAGGGGAGGTGGCTTGCACCCCGAGTCGGGACGGGCCGGCTCAGGTGATTTCCCTCCCCTCCCTCCTCCTCCCTCTCCAGCGTCTTCGGCCACATCAGCTTCCGCTCAGACTGGGAGCTCGTCAAGGTGGACTTTCGGCCCTCCTTCTCCAGGCAGTGCAGTGAGGATGACTACGGCTCCTGGCACCTCAGCGACCTGAAGGTGGGCCGGGGCGCAGGCGGGGAGGGCCCCCTCTGCCTGGCCATCCCCCCCGCCGGCACGGCCCCAGGAACCTGACCTGCCGGACGGCTTCCCAGAACCCCGGCGGCCCGGGACGCCCAGTCCTTCTGCCGGGTTCTCCGGCCGCCTCGTGGGGCCCGGGCTGCTCCGGGCCTGGGTCTGCAGCCGGGCTCAGGGGTACCGCAGGCCCCGGCCCCACGGCGGAGCCCGTGCGCTTGGGATCCGGGAGCCGTCGTAAGATGGGAGGGCAACACAGTGCCTGCATCGTGTATCACCCAACGCCCCACCGGGGCATGGGGCAGCCCCACCCCATAATCTCAGGCACGCAAATGTTTCTAGAACAAATAATGGGATAGTCGCACTAAGTGAAATAAATGAGGGCTGGAAACGGCCCCTGCAGCCCAGACCAGGTTGTGCTGCCCGAGGCGTGACGGGGAAGCTCGGGGTTTCAGCATGGGCGGCTCCCGCACCTGCCACGTCACCCTGCCCGTCGCAGGGAGGGGGCGGCGCCTGTTGGGAGGACAGGCTGAGGACTGGCTGTGTGTCCACCTGTGCCCTGAGGGCCGTGGCTCCTCCGAGCTCCTGCACCGGGCGTGCACCACGAGGGCCGGGGGTGGGGAGGGGGGGACACGGAGAAACTCGACAGACGCCTGCTCTCCTGGTCTCCAGCCGCCCAGTGACCCCAGGGGGAGCTTGTACGCTGTGGGGGCTCAGTGGATGCTTGTGGGGTGGGAGGGAGGCTGCCCCAGCTTGACCTCAGCCACGCCCCTTGCCCTTCTGGGCCTCGGTTTCCCCATCTGTGAAAGGGGACACTGCCTTGGTGGCCGCCGGGGGTTGAGAATCAGCTATTTTCGGGGAAGGACAAGATCAGCAGCCCCAGATAATGGAGAGCGGTCGGCCCTTCTCGGCCAGCTCCTTACGCCGCGCTCCCGCTGCAGGGTGACCGCTGCATCATGGGCCAGCAGAGAAGTTTCCGGAAGAGAAAGCCCACGTCCTGGTGCGTCAAGGGGAAGAGTTTCACGTCTGCGCTGGAGGCCCGGGTGTGCCGGTGCCGGGAGTCAGACTTCCTCTGGTGAGGACCGCACCCGACACGGGCCTCTCGGGCGTCCTAAGCAGCTTCGCCCAGCGCGGGTCTGAGTCACACTCCTCCTGCCGCGTTATTCCGTGCGTTAGAGCCAAGACTCAGTCCAGCGGCGTCACGGAAGGGCGTTAGAGAACTCACGGGCACGTGTGCACAACCACCGCCGTGGCCTGCTCACAGGTGGGAGGGGATGCCAGGAATAGGGGAGGGCATCCCGGGGGCGAGCGGCGCCCATCCAGCCCTTCTCCGACTTCCAGAATCTGGTTCACAAAGCTTCTGGCCCATCGTCTGCCTCCCTGGCCGTCCTCACCCCTTGCCCTCCAGCTCCCCCTTGCGTGCTGGCCACCTGGCCCTGTACCCCCCTGCACCAGCATTGGAGGGGCCCCCTGTGTGGTGCCCCTTCCCTCTCTTTCCCTGCCTGTCCACTGCTCTGCTGCCCTTTCTTTGAGATTCAGTGCACCTCCTCCAGGCGGCCCTCCAGGACACCCACGCTGGGCTCAGTGTTCTCTTATGAGTTCCCAGAATCCCCTCTGCATCTCTTCTCACCTGGAAACGTAACTGTTTTCAGGCTGGACAGGGCTGTATGGACTTGCCTGTGTGTCCCGACAAATGGGAGCATAGCAGGCCCTTGCAGTGAGGTCCCCACCCCCAAACTGGCTCCCATCCCCTCCTGGGCCTGCCTCCTGACTGCTGTTCTCTCCTCCTCCAGCGACTACGGATTTGAGCGCTCTCCCTCCTCGGGGTCTGATGCCAACAAGTGTTTTGCCAACTTCTGGTTTAACCCCCTGTCCCCGCCAGATGACTGTGTTCTGGGCCAGACCTACACCAGCAGCCTCGGGTGAGTGTGGCCCGGGCCTCTCCGCGTCGCTCCCCGGGGCAGAGCCACAGAAAGAGAAGTCGGCTGAGGCTGTCCTATTTGCTGGGCTCCCGAGACTTCAACCCGGGCACCAACCCCGCAGGGTGTCCGATCTGAGCCCACGTGGGGCAGCATCAGGGAGAGAGTGTGCTTTGAGCTGGCTCTGAACTCAGAACAGAAGTGACAGGCACGTGAAACGACAGACCCCGCAGGTTGGGAGGCTCCAAGACACTCTGTTTCCCTTTGAGGAAGTCGAGAGCGGGAAGAGAACCTCAGTGGACTAAATAGAAAATCCCCGTTAGGACCCTTGGGGGAGGGGGAGGGACAGGACAGAACGTGAGGAAGCAGGACTGGAAGTTGGAAGCTTTGGCCTCAGCGGCATAAACTCCACCATCCGTCCATCTGTCCAGCCATGTAGCCATCATCCCTCCACCCACCCATCCATCCGTCCTTCCATCCTTCCATCCTTCACCCGTCCACTCACCTGTCCATATCCCTTCCTTCCCTCCCTCCCACAGTGCCAGCCTCTCTGGTGCACCCACTAGGGTTTGGCAAGCAGAGCCTCCCGTCTGAAGGGTCTGCGCCAGGTCCCACATCAAGGGTGAAGGGTTGCACTCTGGGCACTAAGGTGCTGGGTGTGGGTAGATCTTAGAGTGTAGTTTCTTCTAAATTACTCCAGTGTGTTTTGCATGATAGACCTCTGAGATGTGTACTCAGTGGCTGAGCTGCGGGGGCAGGAGGGGCCACCAGACCCAGGGGGGTGGGCATATCCAGGCACTTTGGCAATAATGCTAGTTTTAGGGGCCCCGAGTCCGGGTGTGGCCTGAGGGAGTTTCACATCAGCAAGTCAGATGATGCCACCCCTGCCGTGGTTTTCCCAGGGTCTCCTAAAAGGTTTACCAGAGCCCATGGGTCTCTGCCCCCCCCAACTCCTTTCCAGCCTCCTCCCAGCCCCGCTCCCCACTCTGGCTCCAACCACCTACCACAGGACCTTTGCCCCTGCTGGTCTCGCTGCCCAGATGCCCTTCCCTCTCCTGCTTACCCTCCTGATTTCAGCTGAAAGCCTCTCTCAGGGACCCACTCCCAGAGCTTGCCAGTGGTGATTGAACCGCGATGCGGGAGGCGATCCGTCTCCCCCACTTGGCAAGGGCCAGGCCGTGGGAGGGGAACCCTTCTGCAGCAGATGCATGGCGCGAAGGAGCGGGGGCGTCCGGTGGCCCGATTCTCAGCAAGGCCCCAGTCGCACCCTCGGCCACAGCGAGAGCAGGCGCTAGGGTCGTCGGAAGCACCGTGACCAGACACGGAAGCAGCCATCGAGGGAGGCAGGCCCTGGTCACCCCACCCTGAGCCTGGCTTCTCAGCTCCCTGTCTCAGCGATGACAGGGGTTAGCGGTGGCTCTCGGTGGGGCCGGGAGGAGGCCGCCAGAGGAGCCACGGCTCGCCA